GTCACTGTTCATTAACATATAAAAAGACTCAAGGCAATCTAATTTTCCTCATCACTCATATATATTTGTGGTGTCTTCGTTGTTTGCTGCCAGACTTTGACCGCACTGAGATGTGCTGCTATACGTGAGATGAATGAATCAGCTCCTGTCTCTCACCTTGAAAAGACTCAAACGTCCTCCTGCTGTTTTGCTGACAATTCCACTTCACCAAAGTGCCCGTCAATGCGAGCGAATGATGCCAAAACGCCAACATTACATGAATGGCGTCTATTTAAAATCTTGTCTTTCTACTTACAGTCTTTTCACGAGGCGTTTTCTTTCAGGCGCTGACGGTCAGTCGTATGCAAATGCGCGTCGCTTTCCATTCCCCTTTGAAAACATTGAGCACTGTTGCGATGTGAAATGAGCTTGATCACTAATGCTGCAGGTTTAATGGGAGTGAAAAACGGCAATTAGATTAACGGGACAAAAGCAATCTGTTACGCTGTCAATTATTCATGCAGCGCTGGTTGTCTCAAACATCAGCAGTTCGGATGGTAAAGATTGAATTACATTGAGCTCAAAGGCAGAACGTCTCCTGCTTCAGTGGTCACCTGATGGGGTCCGTGACCTATGAAATCAGAACGAAACTAACTCGATTATCTGTCAGGATTGAAGCTTGAGTCTTATTCTAATCTGCTCATCTTCATACCAGCAGCCTCCAAACATCCCCAACGTTCAGCGCCTCATGTTCTGTATTGACGGTAGTGCAGAGGGGAAGTCAGGGCGGCCGGATGTGGTCACGTATTCCGGCCCATAAATGAGAGTAACTTGATGTCAGAGGTGGTTAGAGATGGCTATCAATATTTCCTGGTGGAATTGGTTTGCTTCTAAAAGCAGAAAATTGAGCCATTAGCATGTGGAGTCATGAAGGAACTTTGGGAGGTTTTCGCTGGAATTCATGCTTGGTTTGTCAGTCTCTTCTTAGCAATGGTGAAAGATCAAGTTGGATTTTGGATGTGTGTTTGTGTGTGCTTCAGGTATGCAGACAAGGATAGTACTACTTTTTTATTTTAATGGAATATGTTTGTCTCCATCAGGAAGGAAGCTTAAATGGGCTAAATGCACAACTAGTGTTTTTCAGCCAATGATGAACTTCCGGTCAAAGTTTTATGTGACTATTTTCAATTTCATAAGGTTTCTTTTACAGCATCGATGTTGCAATGTAATTCAAATATAATCAGTCAAACACACTTAAGCATCCGTTTAGTTGTTCAAGCAAAAAAAGAGATGAAAGACCATTTAAAACGCAGGCCCCATAATTAGCAACAGGCTAGCACAGAAACTCCATACTGAGGTAAAATTTAGTTTCCGTATTTTAAAGACATGGTGTGGAAAAATAGAGTTGAATGCAGTGCTTCTTGCTTGGTCTGATACCCACTTTATATTGTATTTCAGCCAGGCAGTGAGTATCGCTGTTTTTCAAAGAAATCAGATCGTAAACTTAGTGATTTTGTAAGGGATGACAATTGACAGGAAGCCCTGAGGCTGGATGACTGAAATTAAAAGTCTGTGTGCATACTGTACACCCCATTTTGTTGTACAGTATGTTTTACTTTCAGTTGGTACCAAATATTTTGGAAAAGAGAAATAATAGTTTTCATTTTTGTTTAAACTTTCCCCTTAAATTTGTGACCCTGGAGCACAAAAGCAAGTCTTAGGTTGCATAGGTTTATATTTGAAATAACCACAAAGGCATTGTTTAAGTTAAAATAATATAGATTTTTATTTTGTGCCAAAAACCATTACACTTTCAGAAATAAAGGTTCAAATTATGTCACTGTGGTGGCACCTTTTCAAAAGGTAAACTTTTGTATGATACATGTGGACATTAGTATCTTCAGAGGACACTTTTGTACCTTTAAGTTACTGTGAGATACACATTTGGGTCACACTTTATTTTGTAGGTCCATTTGTTGAACTTAAATTACATTGCATTTACATACCAACTAATTCTCATTAGATTGTTATGTTGGGGTTAGTGTAAGTTGACATGTACTTGTAGTCTACAACTTGTAGTCTGACTATAAGTTTCTTATAGTCAGTTAAATACCTGTTGAAGGAGCAGTATCAACAGATATTAAGCAGACAGTCTACTAATACTCAAATGGACCATCAAAATAAAGTGTTTCCCACATTTGTACTTTTCAGGTATTAATATGTAATTTTGAGGACCTGTTAGGAACAAAAATGTGCCTTTTGAAAAGATACTGCCCCAGTGACAGATTTTGTACCTTTATTTCTGAGAATGTAGAACAGGGGTCGCCAATCTCGGTCCTGGAGGGCCGGTGTCCCTGCAGGGTTTAGCTCCAACTTGCCTCAACACACCTACCTGGGTGTTTTAAGTATTCATACCTTGATTAGCTTGTTCAGGTGTGTTTAATTAGGGTTGGAGCCGAAATCTTCAGGACACCGGCCCTCCAGGAACAAGTTTGGTGACCACTGGTGTAGAATATGGAGTATAGATCATGTTCCATGAAGACATTTTGTAAATTTCTTTCCATAAATCTATCAAAACCTAATTATTGAAGAGTAATATGCATTGCTAAGAATGTAATATAGACAACTTTAAAGGTGAAATAAATAACCAAATAAATAAATAAATAAATAAAAATAACCCTGATTTTCAACGCAGCAAATAAAAACACTTATTATTTCTGACCAATCGTCATTTTTTGATCCAAAAAATGGCACAAAACGGCAATAGATTTACATGAAATTTGTAATAAAAATGCATCAGGCTCTTTTATAATAAACTATGAAGGCAAAACTGTACAAAATGCTACTTTTGGAACAATCCAATAGATCTATTCACAGAGCTCAATTGAACAATGCCAGGGTCAGTTGCTGCACTACAAAGTGAGGGATCATATCAAGATGACGTTTCACGTTGTCCTTGTTTCAATGTTTTTTGAGTATTAGTGTTATGCTTTAGAGACGTTTTTATGAACTTATCTATGGTTTATACTATTTTTGTGTATGTCTATATGTTGTGACATGTATTTATTTATTTATTTATTTTTTGTAACTTTGCTCTATGCTGCCTGTCTTGACCAGGACTCCCTGACAGTAGAGAAATTAGTATCTCAATGGGACATTCCTGGTTAAATAATTTAATGAATGAATAAGTCAATAAATTGGTAAATAAATGAATAAATAAATAAATAAATAAATAAATCTCAATTTCCAAAAATGTACACGTATGACTGGTTTTGTGGTCCAGGGTCACATTAGCTGAACTTTATAGTATCATACTTGTGTAGCTGGCTCTCAAATGTGCACTTTCAAATTGAATATTTTAATTTCTTTGACATGTCTTTGTGTCAGGTATCAAAGATTTTGTAATTACATACTTGTAATGAAGCAATTTTAAGAGTTCACACTTAGATATTGCTTGACGCTATAAGCAGGTTTGGCATGCTGTCCCGGAAGAGAACCCTGAGCTCGGAGATAATTGAGCCCAGAGCTCTCGCCTAGTCAATTAGCATGTAAGGGGGCCCGAGATCAGATAGGTCTCGAGATCTCCCCCTGGTAAAGGAGGAAAAGCAGGAGAAGGGTGTGGAAGAAGGTGTTCTTCCAAAATAAAGAATAGTAGTTGGGTGAATTCACTATTTATTGTAGGCTTGGTTCAATCTGATTGGATTATTACTGATTACGGATGAGAAACCAGCTGCGATCAATCATATCACGTGCTCCGCTTGAAATAAAGCTGCAGTCAAAATGACCGGGATTAAACAAGATGATTAGACATAAAAAAAAAGCAAGAGACTCGTCCATGTTTTGAATTTCTGTCCAGAGAGGTCATGTTTGGATCCTCAATTGGTCTCACACAGTCAAATGATGCGATTTCGCAGGTCAGAGTTCACCATGCTTGAACTTTGCACCGCAGCTACCTGTAAAACTTGACGCATGACCTTGTGTTTCCGGTCTGACACATTCGCGTGCATATGAGTGGAAGTCAATGGGAAGAAAAGTTCAGTGTGACCGTAGCTTTAGTTTGTAAAACTTCACTTAGTATGGCATATATCAAATTATAAAGATTCACGAACTTAAAATGTAACAGCAAATAATACAGCAGTTAAAATTAGAATCAAGCATATTAGTTTGTGATATTAGCTTGTCAACATCAAACTAGGTTCATTTGAAAGTGTGACAATTATTACAGCATAATGATTTTAAATGCACTTTTGATGTAAGTGTATTGTATAAAAGTGTTGATAAATTTAACATCTGAAGCTACAGTTTTTATATATCATTGAAAACAGTTAAGCGCACACTTTTCCTTAGGGTTGGCCAGGTTGTGACGACTTTGATTGCTCAAAAGCTGCATTGATGGTGCGTCCGAAACACAATGCCAAACATGACGTGCGCAGTGAGGTCGTGAGCTGCCGTAGAGGTGCTCATTTAAAAATGTTGATGAGCAGGGACTTTGCAGACCGGTGTGGATAGAGGAAGTGCAGAGGAAGGCAATAGATCCAGTGTGCTTGGGCTAACAGTTTGTCATCGCAGTGGTTGTCGACACACAGGAGTGATGCGCTTTCATATATCGAGAAATTATCAAAATGCTACAGGTACGGTGTAATATTATTGCTTTTACAATGTACAAATTTACAAGGTTGCTTAAGGTGTTTTAATTTTGATAATGTTACTTGCTTAAAACTAAATCTTGACATTGTTCACTGCTGCTTTGTTGGACGTATCTGAATAGAAACATGTTTATTTGAATTTTAGTGAAAAATATTGAGCCTGCGGTTACTTAAGTAGCTTAAAAGAGTCAGCTTTTCTAATGCTTTGCATTTATTTTGTGAAGGTCATTTGGATCAGATGCGCATAGTTTGCATGTCATAAACGGCAGTTCAGACATTTCACTTCTCCATCTCAGATTAGTGTTCCTTAATCAGATGCTCTGCAGTAAAACCTCTCCTCCTCATTGCACTTGTGTGTTGTGTTCCTCTGTGCAGCAGCCACCAGCACCACTCCCTCGGCCAAGACATCCAGTCACGTGACGCCCTGCAATGAGAGCGAGAAGGAATACTGTGTAAACCATGGCAAGTGCTTCACGCTGGAGGTCACACCAGGCAACATCAGGCGCCTCTGCAGGTATTGCCGCAAATCCGCATCTATATTTCATGTTGAACACACAGTAATGTAGCCTGCCGTCACACTGTCGTTCTACATGTTGATGTTTAAAGGAGATATTTTCATTTATTCACTGTTTTATTTAATTGCCACTGAGTGAACAGCATTTCATCTACCTTAAGGGAGCATGCTATTTTCCTGAGTTCCTACATTGTCTGTAAAACACTTATTTTATATGAAGAACTTAGGACGTATTTGCCAGGAAAATTAAAGGTTTTACAGAGGCTCCCGAGAGCATCTTTTCCATGCTTTGACACAAGAAATGAGCGCTTCTAAATAAAGCTGAAAGACCTATTCTGTACTGCACTGAATTGCAGACCTACAGTTGAAGTCAGAATTATTAGCTCCCCTGAATTATTAAAATAAATTATTAATTTTTTTCCAATATATGTTGAATGGAGAAATTTTTTCAACACATTTCTAAAGATAAAAGTTTTAATAACTAATTTCTAATAACTGATTTATTTTATCTTTGCCATGATGACAGTAAATAATTTTTTACTAAATATTTTTAGGACACTTCTATACAGCTTAAAGTGACATTTAAAGGCTTAACTATGTTAATTAGGTTAATTAGGCAGGTCAGGGGAATTAGGCAAGTCATTGTATAACCATGGTTTGTTCTGTAGACTATCGAAACAAATATAAAGGGGTTAATAATTTTGACCTTAAAATGCTTTTTTAAAATTTAAAAAATGCTTTTATTCTAGCAGAAATAGAACAAATAAGACTTTTTCCAGAAGAAAAAATATTATCAGACATACTGTGAACATTTCCCTTCTCTGTTAAACATCATTTGGGAAATATTTTATAAAGAAAAAAAAATTCAAAGTGCGGCTAATAATTCTGACTTCTACTGTATATATGAATACTACAAAAGTAGTTTATAGTCTCAAACATACTTCACAGAATTGCTGCATCCTAATCTTAAAATGATGTATTCTTTTTGTTAAGAAAAAGTACATACCTATGAGTGTGTAATAGAAGAGTATGCATGGCCATTATGTTGATTAGTTACATGCCCTGCTACAATCATGGCTCTTTCATGCAGAGGAATCTCCTCTGTTGTTTGTATACAGTAATTATACTCGAAGGCTAATAATTAATTGTGTCTTCACACTCAAAATTAGGGGTTGTTTTAATCCAACATTGGTTTCACTATGGACAAATCTAACTGTTGGGTTAATAGTGTCATCTAAATTTGATTGAAAAACTTAACTCAGTGTTTGTCCATATTTGTAGCAACGTTGTGTTGAAAAAAACCCTGGATTCAATTCAATTCATCTTTATTTTTTATAGGATTTTACAATGTAGATTGATACAATGTCAAAGCAGCTTAACATAGAAGTAATAGTAAATTGAAACTGTCAGTCCAGTTTTCAGAGTTGAAGTTTAGTTCATTGTGGTTTAATTTTCACTGCTGAAAGTCCAAACACTAAAGATCAAATCCATCAATACAATAGATTGTTTAAAAGTTCACATTGTTGTTGCCGATTAAATGTAATGTGGAAAACGTGAAATATGTATTTCCTGTTAAGTTAAATTAAATTTAAATGACACTTTTTTTAACCCAATGGTTAGGTTTGTCCATATTTGACCCGATGTTGGGTTAAGATAACATTGCATTTTTAGAGTGCATGTTTGTCATTTGTTAACACTTCATACCAATTCTTTGTAATTCGAATCGAATCAACGTCTAATGGAAAATTTTATATTTAAATGATAATAGCATTTAGATTAAGTTTGGGTTGGGTAAATAGGGTAAAACTAGTGTAACACTAACATCCAGGTAACATTTGAACACTATAATAACATACTATCCAAATTAGGATGCAGCATTTTTTTAATTACTTTTATGGTGATTGGTGATTTACAGAACTTGTTCAAACATATCCACATTGATTCGATCAGATGCTTTTCTAACTGCGGTGGTCTCCTCTTTAGTGATACCATAAGCTAGTACTGTAGTTCCAACTGTAAAATCAGCTTGGACCATAGTGTTAGCAGTGGTGTTATCATTAACTCAGTTCAGTGTTGATTCAAGTTCATTCATTATAATGCATAACACTTTCAAGTACAATTTAACAACTACACTCTTATCAAATCTAATATAACTTACTTACATTAAATTTAAGTGGCAGAAAACCTTATTTAAGCAAGCTAGAGAGGACACGGCAAGGATCCTGCTTGAAAATCACTTAAAGAGTATTAAAGAGCTTCTATTATGCATTAAAAAAGTAACAACAAACAGCAGAGGATCGCAAGCTCACGAACACATTTACATTTGTAAAGAAAGCAACACTTGCCACATTTTCAAAGTGGCTTTAGGCGCGATATGTGAATATAAGGAGTTAATCAGATACAGTACAAGCCGCGTGGAGCGATTACAAGTAACAAAACGCAATTAAATATATATTTTGCAAGCTAGAGAAAACAAGAAGGCAACCATTTTAATCGCACTTACACTTGTGAAATGGAGGAAGAAACTGATCCATGAAATGTGTACTGATAAAGTTCCCATACATCTTTTCTAATCCTTCCTTTAACAAATGGCAGATGAATCCCCTGTTTCTGGGTAGATTATTGCATTAATCACCAGAACGTTCACTCATTACTGTTCACTCAGCTTCAGTCATAATCAGTCCCACACACACCTGCACACTGCTAGCATCTGAAGAGAAAGGCTCGTTCACGCTCAATATGTTCTCCGGCACAAAACATATTTGGTATTTTTTTGTGTCGACTTCGATACAAACAGGCAAACGGATAAATGATGAATCATTTAAACAACTCTGAGTCAAATCTTTTATTAAAAATTTTTTTTTTTTTTTTCACTATTTTTAAACAAGATGCACTTTTAGATATAAACCTCAGCTGGATTTTTCATTCACTTGGAACTGTATTGCACACTGCATGGAAGCTCATTTTCAAACACCCATAATAGGGGCTCTTTAATTCAAAGATTCTTTAAAGAAACGAGGCGTGTAATTGACTTTAAGCACAATGCACATTGTTCTTATTTAATTTGCTTCTCCATAAGATTGACCAATAAAATTTGTCCCAATGAAAATCTGTCTAGATGCTAATGCCAAGGGTTGGCATTGCATGCACTGATACAATCTTCAGATCAGAATAGAAATAACTAACTGACAAATGTAAACCCATTACGGCATATGCAGCTTTTTAAATGCAAAACAAAAAGTATAGCTTTTTTTCTGCTTACATGAGACTGACAGAACACTCTGGGGAATTTACTGACCAGTTCAGTGAATAAGCACAAACTCTAGTGCTGATGTCAGGACTCTGGTCTCATCAGTAAGTACTGCAGTCAGAAGGAGCTTCTCTTTCTCTCTCTCTCTCTCTCTCTCTCTCTCTCTCTCTCTCTTTACTGTAAATGGTGGAGTAGACAGACAGCAGTGCTCTTCTGGGACTGTAGATCTCGGAGCTTTCCATTTAAACCATCTATCAGGGCTCACGTGACCCTTAACGAACATGTGGATTTAGTGCTAAGTCAAGTATCACAAGCACTGGCGCTCATAGTAATGTGATCAGACCTCTAAAATGAAGTATCAGGGCCAGATTTACTAACAGTTTATGCCAGCAGGAAGCACTCTTTTGGCGTTAATAAACTGCTGCGGGATTTACTAAATATACTCAAAAATGTGATTAAAAGGAACGGGACAGTTATATTTATGGCTGACCTTTTTGTAAATGCATTTGCAGCTTAATGTATAAAAAGTAAAATTAGAAAATAATAATATTCTTAACATTTGTTTCCAAACTGTTTCTAATTGTAATATTTCTTAAACTTTAAGCATTTGAAATGAACATTTATGATGTGACATTTGTATTCAGTGTGTATTGAATCAGTTTTAATTTAACTAGTACACCAGCATCCTAAAACTACTCTCCTGCCTGCCTGAATTGCTGAAATGAACCACAATCTGAAATATCGTTCTGACTTTTTATTCTCTTTTCTGTTAAGCTGGTTCGACACAATCTAGATTATAACAGTGCTCTAAAAATCTCATGTTTATTGTAATAGTAATATAATAGTAGTATCAATGTTCAATGTTCATAGATCTGGTTTATTTTTTTCAGCATTTTTTAAGTTCGACCTACACCATGAGCTGTATTCGATTGTAATTTGAGGGATAAATGGATTTGTGAACACACTTTGCTCTCAAAAACAAAATAAACACACAACAATATAACATGGTTGAGAAAACAGCAGTTGAACATGATTCTCACAATGTGGATGCACAAGTTCTATAATTCACACCCTGATCTTTTATTTTTTGCTATCTATACAGTAGATTAATGCAAGCAGCTTTAGTATAGTTCAGTGTTCAGTGTCACTTTCAATTGGAAATAAAAGTTCAGTTTCTACTCTATAGCTGCACTTTAATGTGTTCATGTTTTTCAATGGGCTGAACAAAAGAAATCGCTCAGAGAAGATGTCCACATCAGTGAAGACACTTATATTTGCAGTGGTCATTTTGGTCAGGCAGGTTAAAGTTTCAACCTCCAAATGAACTTTTGGTTTGATTTTGTTTAAAATGGCACCTGTTTGTTATTTGATTTCCCTCTTTCCATTAAGAAAGACAGCTGCTCCAGCTGTCCTGAAGCAAAGCTGGAGCTCTCAGTCTGTCTGTGTGTGTGTGTCTGTATGTGTGTGTGGCAGGAGTTTTTAAGCACTAAGTGTCATCAGAGAGCAGTTGGTCAGCACAAAGATCAAGACTCGGGCAACTTCAACCCTGTTTCTTGTATATATATACTTAAGATTTTTTAAGCGATGTGGAAAAAAACACTGATCAAAAACTGAGAACAGATGATAAATTCCTGATTATTTTACATCTAACTTATCTTAATTAAGAGTTTACCCAGACTTTTTCAAGATGGTGAAGCATTCTGAATGCTTTTGCACATTGGATGTAACTGTTTATCACACTTGTCATCTGCATTTTTAAGTATTCATACCTAAAGCCGCCTTTCCACTGCACACGACATTTGGACACGACTGTCGGAATACGCCCCCTTGTGGCAGTCTCACAGTATTTTCAGTGTTGTCGTGAACCATGGGAGAGAAGCTGATTCTCAGTGTCTGAAACAAAGGAGTGCAATAGCAAGAGCCTTTATATTCTGTGCGTTTACATGGTTTAATGAATGTATGAATACTAGAAACTCATAGACCGCTAAAATATTGGAGGGAATGTGGAGACAACATTAAAAATATATATTTTTATTACTTTCTTACTTACATTTATTAACAGAAATGTTATTTTTTATATAGACTTTTTATAATTCAAAAAATAACCAAAAAACTCCTATTTCCCATCTAATGTCATTTTAGTTCAAAAACTAATCCTAATGAGTACTGTCAACTTAATCCATTTAAGTAAATGAAGCAATTTCAGCACAGTAAAACCCAATAAATGAAGAGAACTCAATACAGCTGTGTACTGTAAAACCCATTAAGTTAAGGCAACTCAAACCTTTTGAGGAAACCGATTGCTACAAACCATTTGAGTTTAAAAAAAAAACTAATCTATATGAGTACTGTGAACTTACTCCATTTAAGTTGAAGTAATGAGGTATTTAATTAACTCATTACCTACAACACTGTGTCAAAACTCTTTTCAAATAAGTATAATTAACTTTCAGTCAATTTTGAGTTAACTACACTCATTTCATTTGGTGAAGTTTTACAGTGTAGAAGCACTTCCTCTCTCTTTCATTTTCTCTCTCTCAAAAACTAAAAACCTCCTACTCTAGCACTAAATTGTAAGCACAAACAAGTTACTTTGACTAACTAGCACTTCTTATATGTATGGCCTGTTCTTGTTAAATCACTGAATACCTCCTCAATTTTAACTTGCTTTTGACAAAAGCGCCTGCTAAATAGCTAAACAAAAATGTAAATATTACATGTCTTTTAATGAAAAACAAAAAAACTGAGGTACACTAGGTGGTGCAGCGCAACTTACACAGAAGAAGAAGATAGACGAAACCATTCACTCTGTATTTGTTAACTGGCAAACAAAACATTGATAGTTCAAGTAGCAGCAGAAGCTCCAGCAATGTAGAAATTCTTGTTTGCTGAATGAGAAAAGACGCCAATATTGAATGCACCCCATAGTTATGACTAGAGAAGGACATTCATCATCAGGAATGTGTGCTCGCCTAGACCATTTTGTGAGCAAAAGTGTCATCTCAGTGGTTGACCAGTCTTTAATGTTGCGTGTCAAAACCAAAAACATGAGCTTAAGGTGTTTTTGTTTAAATGTGATTTTTACACCTGGAGTTTTGCACGTTGGTTTGCACACACACATTTGCGTTCTTTGTTTAGTCTCAAGGGTAGGGTTGCACCAGCTAAAATTCGTGAGTTCTTTCATAAACTGGAACGTAAAGTCCTCACTAGGGGCTTAGTAACTACTAGCAAGCTTGTAACTAAATTTGTTCTTACTTCGGTTGTACCACATGTTCTTAAGGCAAACTGTAGTTAGGTCGTAAGCTCTCCATAAAGTCATGCGTAGTCTAGTTGAAGGACGTAATAGCCAATAAACAGCATTTAATTCATTAAACTGCTTTAAAACTCTGCAACTAATGCATCTATGTATAACTGTCTATGAAAATGAAATCAAATTACATTTTTATAGTGCATTAAATTACAGTTAGTCACTAATAACAGACAATGCACACACCTGTATTGCGAGCTGTGAATACACAAAGTTATCAAAACGTTACACTTGATTGTTTTTTTTATATATCCTATATATGAAAGAGAAAAGAGCAGGAAGAAAAACTCAGTCATGACGATATCTTGTTTTAATTGATGGATACAATTAACCCAATTTGTACAATTCCTTGATGGAAAATTAAACTCTTCTTTCACAAACCGAAAACAAAATGCAAACTTTGGGAGGAAATTAAGGCTTTTACTAGAGGAAGATCATTGTTCAATATGATTGCGAGATCCTTAGTGTAAACTAATCTCTCTGTCATCTCTGCCGTCGTAAATATTTAGTCGGAACGTAACGTTAAGTTTAAATTAAGTTTGATGGTGCAAGACAAAAATATTTAGTAATGTGTGTTGCAACTTAAGCTAAAATCATCCCTGTGTTCACCAAAAACCCACAGTTTGCCAGGGGAATGCCAAACGGACAGTTTCAGCAAAAGTGGGAATATAATGAGATGGCAGCCCAGAGTGCTGATGTAAACCTTATTGAACATCTCTGAAAGTTGGTACCGATAGTCTAGTGGGCGTCGAGTTTGAGTCCTGACTCACTGGCATTTGCTGATCCTTTCATCCCCCTCTCTCTCCAACTTCGCTACTTTTCAATATACTGTCCTGTTATAATAAATGCAAAAATGCATGTAACTAAATAAATGTAACTGCTCTAACTTAATTTTTATTGTAATTTTTCCTCATGTTACAACCATCGCACTGTAAAAGTATTGCTGTAAAATTGGAAGTATTAGTTTTACAATTTTGATTGTCAGTAATACTGTAAAATTTGTAAGTGCACTGTTAAGTTTACAGCAGTTTTACAGTGTGTTTTCCAAAGTGTCTTTGTTAAAGTCCCTTGGTTCATTTCTTAAACAGTTTTGCAAGCATTGTGTGTAGATACAATAAATCCTTTACATTTTAAACACTGAATTTTACACTATTTCTAGAAAATAATAAATCAAGTGTTCATAAATTAACCACAAACTTTTTTATACGCTGTAATTTTTTAAATATCTGTAATTAGCAGTTTTCCGTATTTTGTAAAAGCATTATATATTGGTGCTTTCATTTATTTATCTTATTGTGTAATTTATTTTGAATAGCATTCTGGGATTTTGATCTTCCCTCGAGGAACTTATGATGTTTGAAAAGTTTAAAAAAGTGACTTTTATTGACAATTGTATAAGTTTGAAGAGACATATTGTCTGGATTGGTGTCGTGAGTTATGGCACAAAACGTGGTAATAATCTTTTCCAACATAGGCTCATTCTGAAAAGGTAGCCCTTTACATTTCTGGACATGGCAAGTTATGTAGCCAGAAGTACATATGGCTGCATTTAATCTTTTAAACTAATGCTACAGGGCAGTATGACACCATTTCTTTTCGCACGTACCAGCTGAGCGCTTACCGCTGTGTGGACGGCTTACCAGTTTGTCCAGTGGCTTGTCGTGAACGTCAAAAGATTTGAAATGCAAAGTAGAGTTGACTGTGAAGAAAGGGTTCGAGTCTGGCGAAAAACTTAGTTTTAGAAAGCATGTAAAACAAAAACAAAAGCCAAAGAATAAAATAAAGAAGTAGTTAACAGGGTGAGAATGTGGTAAAATCTGAAAATCAGGCTGGCGCAAGGGCTTCTTTTTTTGGATTGCTTTTTAAAACACTGTTGGTTGGGTTTAGGCAGTGGAATGGGTGGGGGGGATTGGTCAGTCAGTTAGTCGACAGCAGCCTCTGGTGGATTTCCGCAAGAACAACAGACACAAATGGCACTCTGAGAAAAACTTGAGATTTGAAAAAGCATGCCCAACGGCCTCTGGCTAATTCTCAAAAACAAAAAAAACAAAAAATGTAGCTCCTGGGACGTATTTGGCGCTCTCCAGAGATGTATACAGGGGTACGTAATTAGAATGAGCCTGGGTTGATTTTTTTTCTGTTCTTTTACAGACGTAATATTATTTCTTATACAGTTTATTGTTTCCAAATCATTTAGTTAAACAGCAGAGTTGAGTTGTCAACATCAAAAGTCAACAGAGCACATCAAGGTCCCATAATGCAATTTATAACTGGGGGAATCTTATAATAATACATAACCTGTTATAACAGTGCTGCACTGCTCACCTAAATCATCAAACAGTTCATCATTCTTGAACCGATCACAGACCCATGTATGTGTGTATGTGTGTGTGTGTTTGTATAGTGCTGTTGTGTGATGTTGTGTTGTGATGTGTTGTGCTGTGTTCATCCTCTTTCTAACCCAGGTGCCCTCCAGGATTCACAGGGAACCGCTGTCAAAACAGAGACCCTGTGCGAGTCGTAGACCACAAACGTATGTGCAGTCAGTGAACAACCCCTTCACCCCTAAACACACACTAACGTCATCGCCGCTGTTTCTGTGCTGCCTCGCCACCTCCTCCATTTACAAAATCACACATCAATGCATCAATATTACGAGTCCAATTTTGACTCAACTGGTAATCGGAGCGAGGTGAACATTTTTCGAGACTTTCAGCCAGCAACACCGGAGACGCAAGTGTGTGGGGGACTTTTGGGTGTCAAACTCACTTCCTGTCCTTCTCTCTTTTCTCTCTGTGACTTCTGTCTTTCCCTCTCAGGTGCCCCAATGAGTTTACTGGTGATCGCTGCCAACACTACGTAATGGCCAGCTTCTACAGTACGTCTATTTCCTTTTCCTGTCTGTGCTTGGGTTGGAGCATGCTCAGTCAGCGCTGCCTCCTGTTGCTTTTGGTTTTGTGTTCTTGACGGACGAATAGTCAGATCAGAGAGCCGTTTGTTATTTTGGGATTCCGCTATGTTTTCCATTCCTTCTCTTTGCATGTTCAGCGTTTATTAATCTGGTTATGTTCTGTTGGATGCTATAGGTACATTAGCTGACAACAGTTAGACAGGGTTGACATTCATCAGTATGGACACATACAGTATTAGTTGAGTTTAGGGTTTTGATCGGGTGAGATTAGAACATCAAGCTCTATCTGCAAACAAACTGCCTTACAATATGTCAAACTCATTCTCAAGAAACTGTGAAAATGTGTGCTGTAAAATTATTGCAGAACTAGTTACTGCAAGTGCACTTCAAATATGACAAATAATAGAGAAATAATAAAGATAATATAATATAAAGATAACAGGACAGAAAACTATAGTTGAAATTACTTTTTTTGAAGCTATTGAATGATAAGATTATTGATAGTTGATCAAAAAAAGATTGCGGGGTCTTAAAGTTTTAAAATGTCTTTTTAATTTTAAAAACATTTTAGGCCTTAAAAAGTCTTATATTCACTGTAATAAATATATAATAAATATACTTTTAACAATGTTATACTTGTCCTTAAAAAACGAAACATGTACAGTGCATCTGGAAAGTATTCATAGCTCTTCACTTTTTCCACACTTTTTTATGTTACAGCCTTATTACAAAATAGATTAAATTCATTGATTTATTTAAAATTCTGCACACAATACCCCATAATGACAATGTAAAAAAAGATTGTTGATTGAAATTGAGATTGAAATTGTTGCAAATTTATTAGAAATAAAAAACCTGACAAATCTTATGTACAGAAGTATATTGTCGTGAAGCTCTAAATTGAGCTCAGGTACATTCTGTCTCCACTGGTCATTCTTGAGATGTTTCAGCAGCTTAATTCGAGATGACCTGTGGTAAATTCAGTTGATTGCACATGATTTGAAAAGGCGTACACCTGTCTGTATAAGGTCCCAGGGTTGACGGTGCATGTCAAAGCACAAACCAAGCATAAAGACAAAGCAATTGTCTGTAGACCTCTGAGACAGGATTGTCTCTAGGCACAAGGCTGGGGAAGGTTACAGAAAAAAATTCTTCTGCTCTGAAAGTTCTATTGAGCACAGTGACCTCCATCATCCGTAAGTGGAAGATGTTTGGAACCACCAGCACTCTTCCTAGAGCTGGCCGGCCATCTAAGCTGAGTGATCGGGGGAGAAGGGCCTTAGTCAGGGAGGGGATTAATAATTCTATAGTCACTCTATCTGAGCTCCAGCATTCTTCAATGGAGAGAGGAGAACCTTACAGAAGGACAACCATCTGTGCAGCAATCCACCAATCAGGCCTGTATGGTAGAGTGGCTAGACGGAAACCACTCCCTACCTGGAATTTGCCAAAAGGCATCTGAAGAAACCAAATTTTCTGGTCTGATGAGACTAAATATGAACTCTTTGAAGTGAATGCCAGGCTTTACGTTTGGAGAAAACCAGACATTGCTCATCACCAGGGTAATGCCATCCCTGCAGGGAAGCATGGTGGTGGCAGCATCATGCTGTGGGGATGTTATTCAGCAGCAAGAACTGGAAGACTAGTCAGGATAGAGGGAAAGAAGAACGCAGCAATGTACAGAGACATCCTGAATGAAAGCCTGCTTCAGAGTGCTCTTGATCTCAGACTGGGGCGGTGGTTCATCTTACAGCAGGACAATGATCCATAGCACACCGCCAAAATATCAATGGAGTGCCTTCACAACAATTCTGTGAATGTCCTTGAGTGGCCCAGCCAGAGCCCAGATCTAAATCCTATTTAACATCTCTGGATAGATCTGAAAATGGCTGTACACTGTCGCTTCCAACCTGATAGAGATTGAGAGGTATTGCAAAGAGGAATGGGCAAAAATTCCCAAAGACAGGTGTGCCAAGCTTTAAGGCTGTGAATACTTTTATTTTTAATAAATTTAAGGCAATTTCAAAAAAAATATTTTTCACAGTGTCATTATGGGCTATTGTGTGCAGAATTTTGAGGAAATAAAGTAATTTAAAAATGAAAAATTGAAGCACTATAATTACTTTTCGGATTCACTGTATGTTGAAAAAAATACTGTATACAACTAGAGTTTTCCTGTTTTAACATGTTAAAATATGTAGCTAAGAAATAACTATTGGATTTTTATGGCAAGTAAAAAAATTCCATTGGCCTAACTGGTCCATTATCAAAACGCCATGTATTCACCTTATTCTCAGCTGTCGAGCGGGCGCTGTCATTTGAATCTTTTTGTCTCGCGACTTCCGGTCACATTCACTTCCATTCATTTTTTGACGTTAACAACTGCTCGTTACGCTGCTTGATGTTGCAATTTAATATTTTCTTATTATATTATGCTACTTGGTCTGTGTAGTCATGCAAACATTTGTTTGTTGAGCAAGTACTTTGGCCATTTTCTGCCGTTTATTATTCCTAGTCATTTCTCCCATAGGCGACTGAATCGGAAGTTCTAAGACAATCGCGAAAATAGGCGCACTTCCGCATTTTAGAATAAGGTCAATACAGTAAGTCTTAAATTCATTCATAATGGTCTTAAAAGGGTATAAAAAGTCTTAAATTTGACTTGATGAAACCTGCAGAAACCCTGGTACAGTATAAGGGGCATATGACAAAACTGCAGAATACACTTATTGTAAACATAATATTGCACATTGTTGTGGACATTAATGTAATTAGACGTGTCGTTATATTGTTAGTGATCTTGGTAATTGTCATTATTGGTGTGAACTTGCCGCCTGTAAAGAATTTAATTTACCTAAAACTTCTTTAGACTGCAAAATTGCAAATGTTGCATATATATATATATATATATGTGTGTATATATATATATATATATATATATATATATGAATACTAAAAATGACACAGCATAAAATAAACTCAAAGTTAAACTTATAAACAATATAAAAATGTAAAGTGTTTCAAAATATTGCTAAGAACAACAGTATATTATGAAAATAACACTGAATATTTGGTCAACGTGTACATTGTCACAATTTTATGTTACACTCGATTCAATTACTTAAAAAAAAATCACAAAATTGTAATTTCCTTTTACTCCAAATTTATGCTTCATAAAAAAAGATGAGTTTGTCTGAATTACCTAGTAGAGTTGTTCTTCAGCATGTTCATGTTGCTTTTTTCAATATACACAATAATTCAAATGAAGTAATAATAAGGGTTTAGTGCTGTTAATTACACCAGCAGTAAGTCATGGAGACACATTTGCAGTAGCACACAAATGTCACTTTTTTCTGAGAATGACCCCAATTAAATTATCAAAGTGACCTTCCACAGTAATAACCACAATTATTTCAATTGAAATTCTTGAGGCACACTTTTCATAGTCTCTGAAGCCGATCTGCTCAGGGACCCTTGTAATTAGGGCTAAAAACACATAATTACACCATTAACACATAGAGATTCACAAGTTCCTCCTCTTATATTGAACTGCACATATATAGCATACCTCTGGGTGATATTTATTATCATGTCTGCATTTCAATAGGATGGTGAGGGAGGTTTTATATGGTGCAGACAGAAAATCTCCATCGATCTATCTAAAGTGCTGAAATAGCTAAATTTACTGGAGATCTGCGCAGACTATTAATAGTGTTTGCTGATGTGTCCTTCACAGGATGTGTCCTTCATCAGATACTCAGTGTCCAGAGCAGATTTATTACATGCCGCCTTGCAGGAAAGATCACGGCTATTAATTAATGAGGATATCATTGAACCAGTGTGTTATTATCTTATCAGAATTTTAATTCATATCCAAGTATGATCCTATATCTTAACATTTTACTTGAAGGGGTGTTCATATGACTGTCATTAATGTTGTATTATCATGATAGGACAAATAGAAACTAATTAGGCTTAGTGAAGGCTTATGACAACTGTCATTAAGCGTAAATTTGCTCAGTTGTCATTCTAAATCCAAAGATGCCATTGTTTATGTCTTTATCATGAAGAACATTAAAAATAAATCTGTCATAAACATGATTGTCATTAAGGCATTATAATTGTCTATTTATTTTATACAGCGTCATTATTATTTTTCTTGACCTCAACCCTTTGAATTTGTCATTTAAAAATTCATCAAATGTCATTAAATAATAATGACGGTGTAATAAAAGTATTTGACAGAGTATTGAGACTTTCACAGAATGTTATAATGATATAACGGCTTCACGACAATCATGTTTATGACTGATTTATGACAAGTTATGCTGTCTTGGTACAGGTTAAGATGTATTTGGTTATAACACGGCAAGGCAGTGGCGCAGTAGGTAGTGCTTTTGCTTACAGCAAGAAGGTTGCTGGTTTAAACCTCGGCTCAGTTGGCGTTTCTGTGTGGAGTTTGCATGTTCTCCATGCCTTCGCGTGGGTTTCCTCCGGGTGCTCCGGTTTCCCCCACAGTCCAAAGACATGCGGTACAAGTGAATTGGGTAAGCTAAAGTGTCCGTAGTGTATGAGTATGTGTGTGGATGTTTCCCAAAGATGGGTTGCGGCTGGAAGGGCAT